TCTTGGTTATGAATTATATGCAGAAGCTGGACAGAGAACAGCATCCAAGTCTCTAAGTTAATGATAATCACCCCCAAAATAAACTGACTAATTAACGTTAACTATAATGAAAACACAGCTACTGTTCAATCGTCCTGATTACATAGTTTACTTAGTAAAACACAGGCTTAGAAATTTCGTTAGCTGAGAGAAGCAATGGTTCTCAATACTAAATCTTCCTTTTTTCCATTAAAGGCCTCTAGCATATTAATTGCATCATCAGCCCATTTATTGATTTTAATGCCTTGCAGTTTGCTAAAAATGAAATTCTAGTTGCTTTAGGATTCCTTGAAATTTAATACATACAGTGATTTGGAGCTAGAGAGGTTCCACTGGCCAGTTTTAATTAAAAAACAAAGTACAATGAAAAATAAAACTTTAGGTTCACCAAATTACTTTTTGTTCAGTGGGGAAAAAAAATCCAGATCAATCAGATTTTCTTGCATTTACTTTACTAATGAGGAAATACAATCCAGGCAAAATAAATCTCTTTCTGCTGAAATGGCAATTTGTTAGTGCTGGAAGTTTTATTTCTTATTGATTAGGTAATAGATATAAAGAGACTCATTACTCTTGAGTACTCTGGCTTGAAGAATGCTAACACAAGGCAACTTCAGAGCGATTTTGAGTAATTCTAGGAGTCCACCTGCAAAGGACATTCATATTCTGTTTTGTTGTTATTTGTTTTTGCTACAGACATTCTTCAAAAAGAAAGAAGCAAGTGCAACAGACAAACATCAACGTTTTCCATTTATTTTTAAAAATCCAATTCGGCACTAGCAAATCCATTGAAAAATGCTTTTTGTTCTAATAATTTAAATTCCTCAAGCTTAATGCTTGGGTTTGTTCTCAAGAGACACAGCATATTAGATGACTGAATCTTAGAGACTTGGAAACAGTAAGATTTTCAGGTACCTCTTTGTGGGAGAAGTGGTCCCCAGCTTCTGAAGTAATATTTACACATCCAGTGTGGGAACTATTTCTGAACTATTCCTAATGTGACATGCTGAGGAACATTTCTATTTTTTCATTCTTTGGCAGAGTACGTGACAGAGACCCAAAAGTGTTAGTCATCCTTTATTTTTATTGTGCTTTTGTGTGATTCAGTGGCCTGCCGCAAAGCTATCTTTGGCACTGTTTGAAGAGTTCTGACTCTACTCAGTGGTTTGATGGGACTTTAGTGTAGCCAGATTAACTGGTCTTGCTATATAGTTTGATTTCCAGTCGAATCCCATTGTATTGCTGTAGGAAACAGACAAGGCCAGCTGTGGGTTTCAGACGTTGCCCGCCAAGGAAACTCACCACACAGTCTTTTTGATTTAAAAACCTAACATTATCAGGGGGAGGGTATAGCTCAGTGGTAGAGCACATGCTTAGCATCCGTGAGATCCTGGGTTCAGTTCAATCCCCAGTACCTCCATTAAAAAAACAAAGCACCCTAATATTACCAAGCATCCTCAGGTGGGGGTAGAGGGTGGGGCTAGAATGTGGGCTTAAGGCCAGAGGCTCCGACTGGGCAAGAGTTCTAGCTCTGGCCGAAAATAGCTTCTTTCCCTTGACACCAGTGGGTGCAAACCTTCTGACTGAATGAATACTCTGATAAACAGAGCCGATTGATGGCTGGGGGTGGAGGCTAAATCCTAGAAGCAGAAGGGATTTTCTGCTAGACTCTGAAAGTCCTGGACAGTAACCTAATACAAAAGGCTGATTTTCAGAGCAAAATGCTAATTTGCTTAATTGTGATAAGGTACTCTGATATTTAGACCTACCCTTGGTAATAGTGATTCTCAACCTTTTGTAAAAACCAATCACACAATTTATACTGGGATGCAGTATAGTGCTCATGATTTTCTAACTTAGGTTCTGACCACAATTGCACTGTCATTCTGCATCTTTGTGAAGAGAGACAAGGCTTGTATTTCACTGGGCAGTTAAATGAATTGTGTATCTCTTAAGAGACTAAAGGGCACTCAGGTATTACTGTCCTGGGCACTTTGTGTAAGTGCAGCAGAGCAAATGATAGGGCAAAAAAGTGAAGACGGACAGGCCTTCTGGAACTGGGTAATTAACATTCACTTTGCATCAGTTTTATTTTCCAAGTGAGTCTGTTTCAAGGGCCCACTCTCCCAGCGAGGGTCCCAGAATGACAAATCCGTCTTTTCCTCCTCTTGGAGTGAAGCAGATCAATCATCACACACTGCTGGCACCCAGCACATGTCCCTCTTGATCTCTATAAAATCAGGAGTCAAGTGTTCTTTCTGGATGTAATGGATCAGTTACTCTCGATAATCCCCGAGGCTTTGGCGCTGAGCTCCCCTGTACCTTCCTCTCATATGTGGTCCAGGGACCGCCAGCTTCAAAATCTTCTGAGCTGCTTGTTGAAAAATACTTATTCTGGAGTTTAATTCAGACCTTTAGAGTCTCATGGGATGGGTCCTAGGAATCCGTATAGGATCCACTGTGGATGGTGGTGACAGGGAGGTTCTGAGGATCCTTCCTTCCCTCTGTGGCCGGGAGAAGCTCTGAAACTCCCTGGGAGCCCCCTGTGTGCTGGGGCGGGACTTTTGTGGGAAGAGCACAGTGCCCTCTCCACCTGGGCTCGGTTCTCTGCCTGGAGATGCATCTCCCACACGGTGCACGCAGTGAATGGACCCAAACATCCATCCTCACTCACGGAGCAGCAGAATCAGAAAACACAGCTGGATCCCAGAAAGAGGAAGAAGGAAACCCATAGGCTCACACCTGGCCTAATTCAGTTCCCGGGGGCAGGAGATTAGACAGGCTTTGGGTAACCAAACTTCAGCGAATCATAACTATGAACATTTGCTAGAAAAACAGTCAAGGACATTCTTAAATGAATCTGGCCTTATTTTTTTTACTGCAAGTGAAGGGCACAGGGACTCTGATATGGTTTACTGCCACAGCCTTGATTTGTTCGAAGGCAACAATAGTTTTCCCAGCCATTGCTTCTGTCTCACCAGTGCGGGGGTCAACACAGTGAAAGGCAAATAACATGTTAGCATTGTTATGAAAATAGTTTTGATCCCGAGGACCCCCAGAAAGAGCATCCAGGACCCCCTGGGATCTCTGTACCACCTGCTGAGAAGGACTGCAGTGTGAGTATGTTCTCTGAGCTACATAGCACCCCTTAGTAACCTAGCAGCGTGGCGTTACAGAAGTTGATGGGAGATTTAAGGATTTGGTAATTCCGGATCTCAGCCATCCTTCCATCTCTAACACTTGATAGTTTGTCAGATGAAGCAAATATGTACATGCTATTCAACATCAATTGTGAAAACTATGTGTATTCAAGTGTACGGACAACACCCCTGAAACCAGAGAGGGTCTGCTATGGATTTGTTTTCCTTGAGCTAGAGCCAAAACAAAACAAAACAAAAAAAAAGCAAGCAAACAAAAAACCAAAAACCCAAACTTGTACTTTTTCTTATGAACCAAATTCCATATGGACAGAGCAGAGCATCTGCTACAGGAGAGATTGTAGCAAATTTCTCGTCTTTGCAAGGTTAAGGATGCTGGCCTTACCAAAGACAACTGCAAGATCTTTCAGGGATCTCAGACTGCAGCTGAGTTTTCCATCTTAAGTGTCTCCACAGCAAAATCCTTGGAAACCCATGATGATAATTATTATTCATTGAGCTCACTGAATATGCATTAGTTGCCTACTACCAGACCTGTAACAGAAGCTCCCCTGAGTGGGCTCTTCTGTGCTGATCTCTGTTGTGGGTATCGCCAGTACTGAAGGTCTTGGAGAAGCCGTGTAGCTGGATGGCACTTCGGAAACCAGAGATAAATACACAACTACAACCACCTGGAGCTTCCACAGACTACTCTGTGTAAAATCATAACCATGCTTCTTGTCTCCCTAATGGTAGTAAAGATCAGTACCAAATTAAAAAAACATACAAAAGTGTTGTAACAGCCGCAGTGTATTTCTGATAAAAAACTGAATGGTTTGTTATAATCATTGCACTTCATCGTATGAACGTTAATTATAAAGTCAAAGATAGCACTGAATATAAGATTGTGTCTAAGTAACATTAATGGAGAATTTTTTCTTAAGTGAGACTTACTTCTTTTGTTCCTGCAGTATTTATTGATTATTTGCTACACGCCACGTGTTTTAGCAGTCAAGCACTTTTCTGTCCCTCCTGGAGTCCACAATGTGGTTGGCTAAATGCACTGTCTATAAAACACATTATATTATACAGTTCAATAGTTGCCACAATATTAATTCACGTGTTCATTCAGAGTATATTGTTTGAGCCTGTCGTATGTGCCAGACACTGTCATGATATTGATGAATCATGACTCTTAGAAGTTATGTGGTTTGTAAATATTTGATTAGTTGTCTCTGTTAAATCTCTTCATTCTTTTTTATTAATAGCTTTAAAAATAATGAAACATTCACCGGAATGGTGAAGTCTTAGTAAATAAGCAATAATGGGTTTAAAAGATGGGTTATATTTCATTAAGAGAAATTTTAGCTCTTCATACATTCTGTAAAGGAGAAAATGATCACACTGAAGAATTAGTCAGTTTTGCCATCAAAAAGAGGACCACTGTCTATCCGTCCTAGAAAAAGAAAATTGTATTAGCTTTAAGTGGATCCTTCGAAATGTGAAAAAAAGTGGTTTACTTGTTTAAATGAGGTATTATTGCAATGGACTTCAGAAGGGTTAGCTGGTCTGACCTTAGGAGAAATGTTTAAATTACTTAATTTACCGGCAAAGATTGTAATTTGCCATGCTCCCAGCATGAAAGAAACAAAATTAAGGATGATTTCAAATCAGGTGAAGACAGTGCATGGCTGTGGCTATGAATCATTATTTCCTTATAGAACAAAATAAAAAAGAGCTTGGCATCTTTTTGAGGTATATACTTATTTCTTGCATCAAAGTAGAATCTGGTAGGAAAATCATGACTATTTTTTTTCCCTCTAGTAACAAAGGACACTTTTAAAGTGAAGGAGTGAAAAATTGGGTTGATGTCTCAGGATCACAAAGAATTACCTTTGCCTGAAATACCCAGAGGCTCAGCATTGGAAACCCAGAAGCCCTATTGCCAGGATTGTCTGGTGAGACTGGAGGCATCCAGCCTTAAAGCAAGGAGAGACATCTGATGACATTTCTCATTACCGACAAAGAAAACAGAGTAAGTCACCCATTGAGTGAAATATTTATTTTTAATTAAATAAGTTATTGGGAAATTGCAATAGCTGTCAAGTTCGAAGCCACAAGATTTGTGAGAGAACCATATTCAGGGAGGTAATTTACTAGACATGTAAGAAAATAGAACATTCCTTCTAAGGAGTGTCTGTTGGACACTCTGGAGTAAACTGATTTTAAGTGGGAGTTGTTCATCTGAGGTTCAAAATTCCTTTTTGTGAACAATAGATTTACCCACCAAAAATACAAATTTATGATTTTTATAATTTTATAACAAAAGTTGGTGATCAAAAAGGAAAACAAAGGTTCCATAGTTTTCTTTAAACATTTTGACCTACTTGATTTCAGAAACCAAAGGATAGAGTTGCGTTTTAATGCTTCTGGATGTATGCATCATATTGTATTCATTTCTGCCTTCTTGCTGCTCCAATTTCATTGCCTCTGGGTATATTAACTGAAAAGATTAAACACGTAAATTATCATAACTAATAAAATGATTCCATAGGCAATGTAAGAGAAAAAACTATATTTTTCTGGGGATGTGGTTTGTACTGACCGTGCTAATTACTTACTACTCTGACCAAAGTTACGTTTTCCTTGGGTGGGCGTATATTTTTAACACAGGAAAATAGAAATTCTGGACCTAATCCATTACTTAATTATTCATAGCCAACATTATAGCTTGTGTTTTTCTTTTTCCATTTATTTGAATCGGGACTTAAGTAAATTATATTTTGTGATGGGTTAGCATGCCTCTCTGGACTTTGCAATAGACTGGATTGTGCAGACTGTATCCTTGTGGAATTGTTTAACATGTTGCTCTGTGTTATAAATTTCCTGTCAATTAAAGGTAGCTCTAGAGGTTTGATCAGCTGCAGGTTGGATTGCCTTGGCAAGATAGTGAGTTCTTCACTCCGGAGGCACTCAGTGTCTGGCTGTGTCTCTTCTGGTGATGTCAATAACCATGGATGCTTAGTGCCTACGTCCAACTGGGGGTTTAGGAAATGGTGACATTCCAAAAATATCAAACTATCATTTTTTTTCTGGTCTTTTTTTTAATTTGGGACACTTTTATAAAGATTTATTCTCTTCATCTCTTATTTGGTTTTGCCCTATGGTACGACTTATATAGGATACGTGGGATAAATGCTTGGTTTGTTCCCTTTCATCTACTAATGTTCAAAATAATGAGTTGATTCTTCGTCATTCTCTGGTGACCAACTAGGTTTCCTCTTTTTTTTAAAAACACACTTATGAATGCAGGAATTTAACCACTCTTGGTTTCTCTATCCACAGTAATTATTATCATTTTTGAAGCTAAACATAGACCATGTTTGGCCAGTTTTTACCTCTTTAAGCTGACTCCTGAGTCCTTATTGACATGACCATAGTAGATGCTGATAGATAGCTTCCTTGTGAATCCATCTGATATGGCAAGATGCTTCAGATTAATTTTATACTTTGCCTACTGAAGATCTGGAATTAGCCATTTCTCTAAGGATCTCTGTTTCCTTTTAGCGGGAAATGTATTGGGAGACCACAGTCTGGGTGCTAAGGGTGCTCGTTGCTCCTGGGTTCGTTGTTTTCAATTTTTCTCAAGTGCTAAAGTGAGTGAATAATGCACACACAAATATAATACAAGTATACAGTGTTTCATCATGAATTCTATTGATACATCTAATCGCTTTCAAGACTACAGGTTTTTTTATTTCAGTTTGTGTTATAAACATTTTTTTTTAATTTTAAAATTTATTTTATCTTTGCCTTACATCTTCTATCTGCGCCACTTTTGCTCCCCACAGTAAGATAGATAATTCAGGTTTACAACCACACCAGGACTGTAACTAGAATATCACATAATTACTCAGTTGGTTTATTCCACAACCCACATATAACTATTCCAGAATAGCAATGCCATCCTGCCAGCTACCAGCACTGCTACCAACAATATGATTGATGGGAAGAGTTTAAGATTTTTTTCTTTTAACTTTTTTTTAACCCTAAAATTATATCTCAATAGGCAGTGAAATTACAGTGTTTTTAATGTCGTTTGGAACACTTCCTTTATACAGTTATGCCACCAATAGGGTCTGCATTTTTTTACTTTCTTTTCTGTTTTTGAGGATTAAAAATTTTTTTAATTTTATCATCTAAGGCCCAAATTTAATCCTTACAGTTTTTTTTTTTCAGGGGAGGGACAAGTTAAAGAAAGAAATCAGGGGTAAAGAAAATCTAGGTTCAGAGAAATTTAATAAATCATCCAAGTTAAACAGCTAGAACTTCTGCAGAAATCCAACATTTTAAGACCATATTACTGTAATGACATTGAATAAATTTCATGTTTGCCTAAATGAACTATCAAGTCAAGATCCGTAGGTTAATTTCTGACTTTGAGTATCATTGTTGCTGAATGTTTAAGTAAAAGCGAATTTTTGCTTCCACTCCAAGGACAAAATAGTTTTGTAAAATTATGCAGATTATTATATATTTATTGTTATAATTGTGGATTTATAGCAGGCATGTTTGCAGGATTATGTCTTTGCCATCAGTTCCTTTATCTGTAAAATGGTACCAGGGTTCCTTCATTGATTTATTCAGCAACCGTTTATTGCATTCCTACTGCGGTAGATAATATACTAGTTACTGACAGAGAACAATAAATAAGATGCTCTCCACTCTCAGGGAGGCCATACCCTGGGATGAAAAGCAGAACTATAAACAAGCAATTGTAAGATAGAATGAGAAACGTCATGCTAGAGGTATATTCTGGATGCCATAGGTACATGTTGGTAAGGCAAAGCCCCTGGTAAGGAGGAGGAGGTAAAGGTGAGTGTTCTCGAGAGGACACTTTAATGCTTGGCTGAGCGTTAAAGGAGCTGTTAAAATTCACCAGGTTGGAGGATGAGACGAATGAGATATTTTCCATCTTATCCAATGTGGATTTCTGTCTCTGTGACTCCTCTTCCCTAGAAGCCTTTCCAACATCAAAATTAGATTTCAAAATAACAAAAACCTTCATGTATTAATGTTCTTAAAATTAATGTTAACCCAGGCTTTCCTAACTTACTAGGATCAAAGGTGGATTATTTTAAAGAAAAGCATAACTGTCCTATTTTTATTTTTACGACCTGTAGAAGGAAGAAAAAAAGCAGCATTTATTTACAAGGCACAAAATAAATAAGATTTGGGAACTATTCAGCTAATTTCATCATTTCAGACAAGGCTGAACAGGCTACTGTGATAAAATTTACTCTATAATGCTGTATCATTCATGGTGTCATTTCTGTTACCTACATAAGTTTCAAAAACTGACCGTGTGTTTTTGATGAACTATAAAATGCAAGAAAAGATAAAGACAAATACCATATGATACCACTTATATGCGGAATCTTGAAAAATGATGCAAATGAACTTATTTACAAAACAGAAATAGATTCACAGACATAGAAAACAAACTTGTGGTTACCAAAGGGGAATGGGAGGAGGGATAAACTGGGAATTTGGTATTAACAGATATATACTACCATATATTAAAAAATGACTTAAATGTCTTTACATCACTAATGAAAACTCAGAAGGCAGATGTAACATCTTTCAATAATGCCAGCA